ACCAAATAAAATCAGCAACAAGACCACATGTTCTCACTCACAGCTCCCCGGTACAGCAGTGTCGGTGTCTTTGCTTTCACACTGTTAAAACCCAGGAATGAGAAGGGCTGGTGCTTCCAGCACATCAGCACACGGTTATCACTGCAGTGTCTCTGCTCCTGGCACCAGGGCTGCCAGCACAGCTTGCTGCCTGCCTCCTCAGAGGGGCTGGCACCTGAAAGGCTCCCCCAATTTAGCCACAGTTCGTTATCCAGCACAGCACACCATGGAGACGCTCACAGACATAACCTGTTTTCCTCCTGCTGTGCTACAGGCACCGACCAAAGGGAAGGAAACACTAATAGCTCCTGCTGGGCAGCAGCACTGAGATGCTCTGGGCTATTTCTGTCCAATCGCACACGGGAGGAAATCAGAAGCTTCTACACACCTCCATTCAATTTCTCTCCATTAACACCGATGTAACAGAGATTGGAATTTCTGCTCTCCTTTTTTTTTTATATATATATTTTTTTTTTCTAGTATTTTAAAAAGTGCTGAAACTCTTCAGCTCCGTGCTGAGCTCGAGATAAAAGTTAACCTCTGAACTATGCAGCATCTTTCATGTGTGGCACCATACGGAGCCTGGATCCCTAACGAGCATCCTGGATGGTTTCTGATTGCCCTCATCCCAGCCAGCTGGGGCATGAGGGAGGCACTGCCTATGGCACACACAGCAGGTGAGGAGCAGCCATGCCCTGAGCCCTGGGCATTGCTGCAGTGCAGGACGGGCTGGGCTCAGCTCCAGGACTGCCCCACCGCCTGGCAGGGCACTGCACAGCAGGCACAGAGCTCGGGAACTGCTGTTATCTGATCCTGGTTCCCGTCCTTCCATTTTGGAGGACCGTCCTCTGAGCCCATCCAGGATCTATGAGTCACTGAAGAAGCACTTGAAGAAGCACATCAAGCATCCATCCTTGATGATAAAGTTGAAACTATATGCAGGACGTGTCCTGCCCTACTTTGGAGCTACGCTTGTGCCATCCACACTTCCTCATATTCCACCTTCCCACCCCACCCCAGCTCTCCTGTGAGCTATGGGGGCTCAGCACCAGCTCACATCATGCCCAAACCAAAGCTCACGCTGTATGTGCTGCACACCTGTGGGCGAGGTGAAACCTGGTGGTTCCCACCTGCACCAGCATCAGCCTGAGCACAGGTTAAGGACAAAAACCAGTAAATGTCTTCACTGGCACGTGCAAACCCACAGCTCTGCAGCATCACCTCTGCAGCCAAGACAAGACATTCACCTGGTGCTAATGAAATGGTTATACTTCACACTCAGAAACTTACTCCTTTTACTTTCTCCGTTTAGAAACAACGCTGGAGCACATCTGATAGGCTTTTTTTTTATTATTTTCCCTTGGCCATTTCCCACTTGGCAGCAGAGGTGCAGTCCTGGATTTGCAAAACATTTCCAAACGTGTGTCTGTTCCAATTCAGTCACCCACCCCAAAACTGCCTGGGTTATCTGGGAAAAGAGCCACTGGGAGCCACGGGGCCATGAAACCAGGCTGGGGCACTGCAGTGCCAAGGCAACTTCGTGGCCACGCTGGGGATGTCCTCTCTGGGGCTGCCCGCAGCCATTGGGAACACAGCAGCACCCAGTGGTGCAGGACGAGCCCACGCTCTGCTCACCTCCAGCACTCCTCCCTGCCAAAAAAGAAAACAAAAAAACCCACCTCCACCACTCGCCTGGTTATAAATAAAGCAGCCACTGACCCTGGAGATTAATCAGTGGCTTGGTGTCTCTGCGTGATGTCACCCCGCGTTTTTCCACAGGCCTGTCGAATTTCAGCCCGTCTGATCCGCCGATGACAGACGGGGCTCGAGCCTGCCAGACAGCCCTGGGACGCAGGAGGGGGGAGGATTTATGGCTGCCTTCCTCCCGCACGCTCTGCTTCACTCTGCACACAATACACAGATGCCTCTGCGAGATGACGGAAAACCGGGGCTGCGCGGCGCGGTCGGGGTATTTTTAGGCATATTGCACCATTTCTGGCCTTTGGTGGCTTTATGATGAACGCAGCCGGGTGTGCAGCCATCCATCAGAACCTGCTCGCTTTGTGCACGTGGAGCTCAGGCTCAGCAGGGTGAGGGGTGGCTATGGAGCGAGGAACAGAGCCCAGGCGTCACCAAGGGCTGACCACGAAGCCAGGCACTGCGTGGCCACGCAGCTGCTCCTCAATTAGCCTGAGATGGCAAAGCAATTAGCTATGGAAGAGAAGGACGCACCACCAGCACCAAACCATTGCTCTCCTCCAAGGGCTGGCTGTGCCTGTTTGTTTGACTCCTGCTTCTGTGGTGGTGGAGGCTGTCGTGAAGGGTCGATTCATCGCTTTGGGAATTTGTAGCTCTCCAAGATGTGTTCTTAGCATCGTGGGCATCAGGGAGACAGCCTGGGGCTGGGGGTTCAGGATGGCCATTCTCTGGGGGAGCAGAACATCCTTTCACGACCAAGTGCAGAAGCCACACAGGGCTGCAGCTCAGCACTGACAGCACAGCCTCCATCGCTGCACCGAAGCGGTGCTGTCTGCAGAGCTCACCCATAGCACGCACAGCCTGAGGGCCCCAACTGCCCCAGCCCAGCCTGGGACTGCTGCTCTCCATGTGTGCACCTACAGAGGGGCTTTGTTGCATCAGAAAATAGCTTTCACCCAAGATCATCAGGCCTGGCACTCAGGGTTACCCCGGGACAGTGATTTTCCCCACTGAGGTTCCAGGTGGCAGATTATGCAAGGCTGAGAGTTATTCCTGGGGTGGCTGCATGTAAGGCGAGCTGCGAGCTGCGCCCAGCATGGGTGGGTGGAGGTGCAGCCATTCCTCTGCAAAGCCCCAGTGCCTGGCACTGCCCCAGCACCTGTGCCTGCACAGTGAAGGCAGGAACCAGTGCCAAGGAGGGACAGCTGGGCAGCAAGTCTGAGCCCTGAGCGTGGGACAGAGCACAGCCACGCTCACCAGCAGGGCTGTGCCTTGGGAAGGGGTGGGGAGGCTTCTGCAAAGCTTGTGGCCAACGCAAAGTGTTTGCACTAGGCCAGAGAGCAGCCGGGCACCTCCAGCAGCCTGAATGAGCTGCAGCGAGCGACCTGCTAGGGAAATAAATACAGCGACCTGCTAGGGAAATACAGCAACCTGCTAGGGAAACTGAGCACCCCGCTCCTTTGAAGTTAATGAATCGTGAAAGCCTTTGAAAGCAGAGCTTTGTTTATTTACTCCCGGCATCTCATGCCGATGAGGCACACACACATCCCCAGCGCTCTGCTAATTTGAGTGAAAGATCAAATACGAGGCTCCTGCAGCCGCTGGGACAGCGAGAGCAGCCTCTGCCCCTCCATGGGTCACTGACAGGAGAGAGCCCAACACACAGCCGGGGCAGCTGAAGCGACACCCGGGGCTGCCAACCAGATCCTGCCAAGGAAAGCATCAGCAGAAGGGATCAGGCTGATGGAGATGTTTTGCACGTCAGATGTTAAGCGCTGTGAATCAGGACCCAAAGGCACGGCCCAGCACCTACATTCAGCCCCGAGCCAGCAGCAGACACCCAGCACCCCCCCTTGCCTGCATCTCCTGCCCAGCCCTGAGCTCTGCCCAGCGCCAAAGCGCAGCCAAACCAACCCCAGGGCTGCACCCTGTTCTGCCTTTCCCACAGCAGCAGGGTGCAGGGAGCTGCATCTCTTCTCTTTGAACGAGAACAATCCACGGAACGGCAGCAGCACCGACAACTCAGCCTGGCTCTGCAGGACAGGGGCAGACGCGGTCCTGCTGCAGCCCCGTCCCGGCTCCGAGCCCCAACGAGCTGCCTGCTGATGGGGCTCCCGCACGAACGCCCAACCTCCCACAATAGCCTATAAATATCGGCCTTTTCAGCGCAATAGCTTCGTGAACAAGCTGTAATGCAATATTTCACTGAGGCTCTCAGACAAAAGGACGGCACCCCACCGGCACTCGCTTTCTGCTGCTGCAGTTTTCAGAAGTATAATTGGATTATAACCAGGCGCGAGGCTCTAGCCCCAGTTTCTCCCAGGCCAGCGAAGTCGCTGTCTGATCTCTAACAACGGGAGTCGGAAGGAAGGAGCAGAAAGCTCACTGGGCAGAGGGGAGGGGAGGCTGAGGGCTCTCGCACCGCTGAAAGCCCCCTTCGGCAGATACCGAGATTTGCGGTCCCGGCAAATAATAATTAGGCGTATTGTGAAGAGCCAACAATGGGAGAGAGGCGACCCACTTAAGGCCGATGCCTTCACCGTCAGGGCGTGGGAGGGCTGGCGGGCCGGGCTCACAGGGAAAAGGGAGCTCCAAGGTGAGGCAGCCGCTCCGCACGCCTCCCCCGCGCGGTGGGTGCCGAGCAGAGCTCCGTCGGGCGCCCGCAGCCCGACCCGGCCCGGCCCGGAGGAGCGCAGCCCGCAGCCCGAACCGCGGAAAGGCGCGGGCGGAGCGCGGCGGTTTGGCACCCTGCAGTGACACCTGGCGGGGGCGAGCGCGGAGGAGCCGGCAGCGGCCCCGAGCGTCCCGAGCTGCGCCCCTTCGCCGGCGGACCCCGACGGGGCGGCCGCGGAACGGCGGATCCATCGCTGCGGGACCGCGGCGGAGGGCGAGGCGGCCGGAGCTGCCCCGCGGGGCGGCGGGCAGGAGCCCGGAGGGGGCCGTCTGACGTGCCCTTGGGGAAATGGGGGTCGGTCCGGCCAGAGCCGCGGCTCCGCGCTTCTGACTCTGCCCAATGAGAGCCCGGAGCACGGAGGGAGCTGTCAATATTTGGCCACAGCCCCCGCGCCGCTATCCCCAGTGTGTCCTCGCCCTCCGCACACGGACCTCTATGGCCCGGCCCGGCCCCGGCGCACGCCGTGCTCCGCTCGGGGTGCGCCGGCCACGCTGAGCGCCCGGGACCCCCGGAGCCTCTCCGCCGCCCCCCGCGCGGCAGCATGCGCCTGGGAGCGGGGGCCCAGCGGGGGCTCGCTCAGCCGCGCGGAGCCGGGAGCCGCGAAGGAGGGCAGTGACGGGCACGGCTCGGCGCCCGCACCGCCCTCGCCCGAGGGAAGCGCGGGCAGGACCCCGTCCCCGCTCATTTCTCCGTCTGGACCGCGCCCCGGAGAGATATGCTCAGTCCAAACCGCCTGGAAGCGTCTCCTGGGATTGCCGTGGCCCCCGGGCGTGCGGAGTGCGGAGCGTTCCCTCGGACGGCGGGTGCGGCCCCGCGGATTTGCCTGCCCTTCGTGCTCATCCTGCTCGCCCTGACGCCCCGCGCCGACTCCTCGTGGTGGTGAGTGCCCGCGCCTCGACGGCTCCGCGGCGGCGATTCCCAGCCGGGGAACGCGGGGGGGGGGAGAGAGAACGCGTCTGGGTTGCGGAACGGTCGGGGATCGGACGATCGGGCAGAGCGGCCCCGCGGGTCCCGGTTCCTGCGGGCGCGCACCGACTCCGAGCGGAGCCCCTCGCAGAGCCGCTCCGCACCTCCTGCGGATCGGGGACGGACACAACCGGGGCCGCTCGGGCCGGGACTCGCCGGGAGCTGAGCCCCGAACCCGGCCTTCTGCGGGGAAAGAGAACGATGAGCCCTCGGTATGGGCTGGGGCCGAGTGGCAGGCAAAGCCGGAGCCCCGCTATTAACCCTCTGCAATTCTGGGGTCGCGATCCATCTCCCAAACGCCTCTGGACTGCTCTGTTATCCCCCATGCTCCGCGATGGCTTCTCAGCCGCTCCCAAATTACCGCTCTCCCTGTTTGAGTAAGATACGGCTCTGCCGCAGCCAGAGGTGATGCCATAGAAAACGCACGGAGCTGCGGCGGAGCCAGCCGGCCTCTCCACAATTAATCTCCTGTCCTCATAACAATTAAAATTCGTGCATGCAACACGAGAGTCGGTAGGAAGACAGGGAAGGTGAAGTTTTCAAGTGAGCCCACACAGCTTCAGGAGCTCAGAAACGCCCGAGGAAAACTGATTGCTGCACAAGAGTTCTCAGCGTCCCGTCCTGTAACAGCGCTCATTAACCTTACGGAGAACCCCAATTTACGCACCATCACCATTAGCAAACTGAAGCTGTCTTTAATCTAACTTAATCCATCTGACATTGATGGGGATGGGTGGCACTCCTGAGGTTGTGCAGCGCTGGGAGCACCGCGCAGCTCCGGTCCTCCTGGTGCTCCGGCACAGCGCTGTGTGTCACAGCGGCGGCTCTGAGCGCTCCGGGACGGGAGGGGAAAAGGGAAGGGAGCGGTGATCCTGGGGACAGGATCCCAGGGGACACAATGCCTGCAATGCCCAGAGGAGACCTGCAGCTCGATGAGCCCAGAGGGGTCTGAAAGCCCGGGTGAGGAAGGGAGCCTGCAGTGGTGGGGCTCAGGTCGATGCGCGCACAGCTTGGCTCCCGGCCGCCTGATCGGCCCCCACCCATCACAGCAGGCGAAGACAGGACAACATCTGTGCAGAAGGTGATGGTGCTGCTATGCTAAAAGCCGAGGCAGTCTCAAGATCGCAGAGAAGTCGGAGAATTCCGTGTCCTTACCAAGGAGGCAGGGGAGGGGGGAAGGTTTGCTGGAGCCGGGGGTGGGCGCACGGGGTAATGCTGCTGGAAGGGGACAGGCTGTGGCTCACAGCATCTCCCAGAGCTGAGCAGTTCTGTTAACGCACTCAGATACCCCCGATGACTCAGAATCCTGAGGAACAACGTGAAAAACATCAGTTTTCCTTACTTTCACACCCCGCTTCTCCCCAAAGCGACTGCACCGCAGCGGTGGCCCGAATTCCAAATGCTTTTCCCATCCAATGGGAGCAAAACCAGCCATGCTCTGAGCCTCAGTGGCTGCGTTCTCTGGGTGGCACTGGATCCGCTCTCACAGCATTTTGTGCCCTCGGCTCCGAGGCAGAGAGGAGCAGGAGAAGTGCTGGGAAACGGGCAGGGCTGAGCAGGCACTGCCCCCCACACGCTGTGCCACGGCGCTTTCAGCCTCTCTCACAAAGCAGAATTGGCCCCAGGGTCCAACGTAACATACCTTAAAAAAAAAAAAAGAAAGGAACCCTAAACCAAATACGTTAAACTCAGAAGTTCACTGCTGATTGCACTTTCTCTTCCGTCGAGCAGAACATGCCTAAGAAAAACCTTCACCAGCACAAACGCTGCTCCGCTCTTCGTGTCAGCTCTGATAAAGCAGCGCCTTTAGCTGAGATTGTGCTTTACTGAAAGCGGGTTCAAGCAGCTGTGGTTTGGGAAAAAGTTATGCAGTGATTTCCATGGGCTTCCAAGCACATCTCTAGCACTACTGATATTACGGTAAATACATTTGGTGGTGCATCATCGTTCCTTATTTTTATTATTATTGCCAAATTCTTCTAGGGATTCACACACAATAAACTTGTGGAAATAGAGGAAATGCTTCTCATTTTCGGAGTCAACTTTTAAAGTAGATTAATAGAAAAAACTGGGCCGCTTCTGATTGGAGTACATGGAAAGGAAATATCAACCAAATGTTTCTTCTAAACAACTGCAAATTATTAATTTTGGGTGACGTCAGGCGCGGTGCCACTGCCGTGCAGAGCTCCAGGAACCGGGGAGCTCTGGGTGAGGGGTCTGGGGGTGCGTGGTGATGGGCTGTGGGTGCTGGGGAGGAGCAGCGGGTGCTGCCAGGACCACCGGCGGGTGTGGGATGGCGCAGGCTGGGCAGCAGCACCCAAACTGTAAAGCTCCCAAACTATGACACGTCACTTAGCAACAAAATACCGCCTGAAACACAGACAGAAATTAAAAAGGAATGCGATGGGAAAATCCCTAAATCCCGTTTACACTCAAGTGCACCCGGGCAGGGCGAGCGCAGCGCCTGCGGCGCAGGAGGGACGGTGCCATGAGCCCAGCAGTGCTGCAAAGCCCTGAGAACGGCCTCCAAAATTCCTTGTAAAGATTGGGAAGATTAGGGCCAACGTTGCTTATAAACACGAACCGCGCAGTAAACAAACGCCGTGTAAATAACCGAGCCGGGTTCGTTCGCGGCTGAGAGCTCCGCCGAGCGCACTGCTGTGGAAAGCTGCTGTGGATGGAAGGTTTGCTTAAAGGCGAATGTACACAGGCCTCGTGCACACCCCACCCTCACACATACCCGCAGCCCCACGCGCATCCCCCGCTGCCGCGACGCGCCAAGTCCTCGTCAGCTAACTTGTTTATTGCTAACCACAGCCCTTGGAAACTACAAATACTCGATTTCATCTGGCACTGGAGCAGATGGGAGGCATCAGGCTCCCAACGAGATAAAGCAAATCTGGGGAAAGCAGAGCAGTGTGGGCTCGTGCTGGGGTCAAGCAATGCGCGGGGTCTGACTGCACGCGGTGTCCCCAGGCTGGGACCTGCGGCACACTGGGATGCTCCATCCCACTGGGTGGCCACTGCCACCCTTCAGCTCTGTGCACGCACTGGGAAGGGCTCACGAGGAGGGAAACACAGCGTGAGGGTACATCATGGAGCAGGAGCACGGCCTGGGCACCTGCTCAACCTTTTGGGGCATTGCTCACAGGGACACCACAGTGGTTGCTGCTGCCTCCATCCCACGCCAATGCTGAGTCCTGGTTTGGGTGGATGTGCACAGGGAGCGATGGAGAAGTCGAGATGCTTGCACACGTGGTTCTGGGATATCAGAGAGGGGCTCACTTGAGCAGGCATCGCATGGAGGTGTGTGGGAGGGGAAATAGCATCAATAGGAATGTCTGAAATTAAACCAAGGGAAGGAGAGCTGCACGAGCCTCCGCGGTGCGGAACCCATTGAGGAGTGCATGCTGCTGCTGCCAGTCAGACCCCAGCAGCCCAGTGCACTGCAGGCAAGGCAGTGCTGGGGGCTCAGGGACCCCATGCTGCTCCCCACGACGCGCACAGCAAGAATAGGGCAGTGATCAGGACATCCCCTGTCCTCACGTGCTCCAGCCCTGGCCATCCATGGAGCCCTTTCATTGAAACATCAGTCCTAGAGCAGCATCAGAGGGATGGAGAACAAACTGCGCCCTCGAGGCAGTCCTGGCAGCGTTTGGGAACAGATGGGTTCTCTCAGTCGCTCCGCTTAGTTATAATAACCCTAATTGTGTTTTGTAGTTCATTTTTCATTAGGGTCACTTTCACCTATAGGAAGTGTCTCTTAAAAAAGAGAGACAACAGAAAAAATCCTTCTGCTCTCCCAAGCTCATTGGCCGGGTCGCTCAGAGCAGCCTCACCCAGCATTATGATATTAGAAATTATTCAAGTGAGACTAACGCTCTCAGCACACAGAGCAGTGGCTCTAAGTGAGGAAATTAGGACTATTAATCACTCCGAGGCGCTAACAATTCCAGCAGGCCAGGATGGCCCCGTTCCCAGTGGGGCTTAATAAAATACTCAGGGTTTATAATAATAAAATAATATCTCAAATGTCGATAGCAACTTGCAACCCAAAGCGAGGTGCCGTTGGCTATAAATTGTCCCCCCCAGCACCGTGCAGAGTTGAGGAAGGAGAGCAGCCTCTGCAGGAACTATGCAAAGCACTCGAGGAGCGAGATGCTGCCAGGCCCTCTGGAATTTGCTCTTTATCAGATAAAGAGGCAGGGATGCTGGATCCGATCCTATCGGGAAGAGGTGTCTCCAATAGCCGCCGGGGGCTCTCGGCCTCCCACCAAAATGCAGATTCCGTATCCTCTCAGTGGGAAGGAAGAGAACAGAAGCTGCAGGGATGTGCTCAGAGCTGCCCCCAGCTCCAGGTGGGATCAACCCTGTTCTACTGCAGCCCTAAACACAGGCACCCCACTTTAACCTCTGGTGCTGAACTCAGCTGCTATCAATCTGATTTAGAATTGCACCTTCAACGGTATTGGTGCATCCCTGCTTTCCCCACAGCGGGAGCTTGCATTTCTTGCTAAATAGCTCAGCAGCAGGGGGCTGCTGCCAAAAGCACAGTTAGCAATCAGGAAAGGGACTCTGGAACACCACAAGAGCCAGAGCTGCTGCTGGGGACATCGCGTGGCACAACGCACGGCGACACAGACACCCCCTGAACTCACAGAGGAGAGAAGAAGTGGGCAGAACCCCAAGCTGCTGAGCAGCCTCAACTGGGGGCAGAGATGCAACGTGAGCCACACGGCTCTGCAAGAGCCCCGGAGGAGCTGGGAGCAATGGGGCAGCTGGGTGTGCAGTCCCAGGAGCACAGCTCAGCGCAGGGCGTGCATGGGGAGGGGGTTAGCACAACTGCATGCTGCCAAGTACATGGATGCGTCTGCCTCTGATTTGCATGTTTATCTTAGAAGCAATTTAGGTTTCTCCTTGTTTACAAGAGGAGAAGTCAGCAGACTCTTAGAGCAAGAAAAACAACTGGGAGCCAACATGTGACAGTTGTCTCCTGTTCCCCACGCATGGCGCAGCCGGCGCGCGCAGCCTGTTGGGAAAGAGCATCGGCCACACGGCCCCAAGCAGCAGAGAGCAGCCAGCAGCAAGCTAGGACTGCTTCCCCTCCCTTACACACAGGCTCTGGAAGCACTTACCTGCAGAACACGAAGCCCCTGCTCTGTGATGGTGCTGCATGAGGTCTTCCTCGTGGGAAGAGGAGAAGGTGGAGGTGCGGCTCAGCTATCTCCCAACAGCGCTGCCATCTGAACCCCAAAAGGAAACAGGAATCAGAGGGATCCCCAGCAGCACAGAGCTCTGCAGACGCTGCTCAGAAGACCCAGAGGCACACCTGCAGCTCTCAGCAGGCAGAGCAAAGCTCGTTACCCACCTGCATGCAATTGGCAGTCTCACCCTCCTGGCTGCAGGTACCCCTCCATCACCAGTGTCCGTGGCACTGGGGGTCCAGGACTGCGTTGTCCCCAGGGATGGATGGGCACTGCACTCTCACGGGTGTTTCTGACACTGTGGTGTTTTTTTCCTGCTGTATAAACGCGGGTGCCCCAGAAGCAAAGCGCTTCACAGAATTTGCCATGTCTGGCATGACTTCATTTCTAAAAAATGGAGCAGCTTGTTCTGCTAAAGCAACTGGGAGCTTCTCACAGCACCCTTCTATTTCCTATTTCAGTGCTTTCAAAACATCACAGCGTTTTAGCAGTAAGATCAGAAGGGATGCTTTCACCAATCCAAAACAAATGTTTGTTTTTTTCCCTTCCCAAAATTCTGCTTGGCAGGAGATTTCCCAGTGTTCTCCATCTCGCCCCATTTCATAGAACCAGACCCCCTGGAGCTGCTCTCGGGCAGCAGAGGCACGGGCTGCTGCCGAGGTTTTCCCATGCACAGAGTGGATTTTGTCCCATTGTGCCATGGCAGTTCCAGGTGCAGTGGCAGTGCATCATCACAGCGTAGGGCTGCGGGTACCAGAGCTCAGCAGCAGCACTGGGAATGCTCTCGCCAGGCACAGCAGCACGGTGCTCCTGCAGGCAGGCATCCTGCCCTGCTCCATCTTCTCCATTTTTCTCTGTGCTGACATTTAGCAGGAGCATTAAGGAGAAGTAATTAGCTCCATGTGACAATGAGAGCACGCAGTGTTCATCCTGCCCAGAGATTTTCTTTGCTCTGGGTCTGGGGGGTGTTGCTGCCCTCCTGCTCTGTGCCACCACAAGGACACAGTGCCCGTGGGTCCCAGTGCAGCAGCAGAGCCATGGGGAGCCACATCTGTTGTCCTCAGCTCCAGCCTGAGATGACCTCGTGCTTCTGCCAGCATTTAAACAAAATATTGTTAAAAAAAAAAGGAGGGGTGGGGGAAGATCCCATTGCTTTCTTTGCTCGCTGGGCTTTCCTGAGCCTGGGAGCTATCTCTGAAGCTGATGGAAGTGATAGAGCATGGCCAGAGAGAAAGACAATGACATATTGCCCGAGTTTATTGCTTTTTAGTGTGATTAAAGGGAGGGTCTTATTTCCAGTCTGGGGGTTTGAAACATTTGAATCCCACCCAAACCTCTTCCCTTGCAGCCAGAATCACAGCTTCGTGGTATGTGGCAAAAATCACTCCCCGGCACAGAGCAGCCTGCTGCTGGCAGAGCATGCACGGGATGGGGATGGAAAATTCCACCATGTCTCCATTGTCCATGCAGGCCTGAGGGCTGCTGGGTGCAGGAAGAGCCAGGATCCCCCTGGTGAGTGAGGAAAGCTGCCCACTGCACACCGAGCACAGTTGTGCATCGTGCTGCTGCATGGAGCTGCTGCCCGCTCCCAGCAATGCATGGAGATGCAGGCAGCGTGCACACAGCACAGCACAGCCCCAGCTGTCCATCTTCAGGACATGATCTTAAACGTGGCTTGGTGCTAGCAGCACGAGCAAGGCCTGCAGCAACAAGTGAAGCTCACATCTCTTCTTCCACCTGAGCGCTGCATTGGCGCCTGTGCCACGCAGCAGCAGGGATGGGGCGCAAAGCCCGCACCTCCAGGCACCTCCACACCTTTCCCTTCTCCCTGCAGGTACATCGGGGCGCTGGGGGCGAGGGTGATCTGTGACAACATCCCAGGGCTGGTGAACAAGCAGAGGCAGCTGTGCCAGAGGTACCCCGACATCATGCAGTCCGTCGGGGAGGGAGCCAAGGAGTGGATCCGTGAGTGCCAGTATCAGTTCCGTCACCACCGCTGGAACTGCAGCACCCTGGACCGGGACCACACCGTCTTCGGGAGGGTGATGCTGCGAAGTAGGTGCTGCTGTGTGCCCATGCCGTGTCCCCATTGCAGGGTGTGAGTTGGGATGGGGGAGGAAGGGAACGGTGCTTCACATCCTTCACCTGCATGAACAAGAAAACAACAACAAGAGAGCTGGGAAGATGCCCTGAGTCCTGAGAAATTGTTGTAGTTAGAGAGCGTGGCTTTTGCTTGCAGAAAGAGCTGCAGGTGAGGTGCATGCATTCTTTGTGGAAAAATATAAAATGGAGAAAAACAATCTTTTCTCCTTTAAAATTACATTTTGATGGGGAAAAAAAAAACAAAACAACAAAAACTGATTAGCTGTGCTCTGGATACTATGGCAGAAGGAAACCTGAACATTGAGCGTGGGGAGAAAAGGGACCCAAGAGGAATCTGCGCCCAGCTCACAGTGTCCCTGGGGGAGTCCCAGCTCCCACTGTGCCCCACTACTCTGCTAGGAGCATCCCTGCTGCTGTGCCCCCTGCCTTTGGTTACTGCTTGGGAGAGATTTGCCTTCCCTGTAAATTAATCAAGGAGTAATGGGCGCACACCACTGCTTTTGTAATAGCTGCACCAGAGGAGATGGAGCGGGGGGAGCACTGGGGGAGAAGGGAGAAGGAGGAGACACCTCCAGAGAACAGGCTCGTATGTAAACAGTAATGGGATATATAAATATTTGGAGAGCAGGGTTGGCCAGGAATCAGCAGTTCACGTGGGAACTCCCTGTTCCTCGCATGGCAAGGGAGGCAAGGCCGGGCTGGGGTGGCATTGCTGCTGCAGGCTCCAAGCTGGGGCTGCACCATGGGGGGGTCCTTCCTGGTACTGCAGGGAGCTCAGGGCACGTCAGCCATGATGAGACCTGCTGGGAGTGGTAGGAGCAGCCCATCTGCAGGGCACGTGGGCATGTGTGGGATGGGCTTTGTGGATGCTGGGCAGACTCAGGGCAGCCCAGGAGGAGCACAGGAGGCTGCAAGCACTGGGGCACAGCGCTCAGCCCCAGCATCCCCCTGCATCCCAGCATCACTGCGGCCCCACGTCCCGTCCCAGCCGATGAGCACAGGGGCTGATGAAAGCTCCTCGCCATACCCCATCCTGCCAGGCCTAGAGAGAGCTCAGTTCCCTTTGAAGTTGCTTTCAAAGGCTCTCCAAAAGAAGACGAACATGGTTTTGATTTGCAGCATCTTTTACAGCGTTATAAAACCAGCTGCGAACTCAAACCAGAGATACAGAGAGCTGGAGGGCACGCTGGGCTGCGTGGGGAGCCCGGGGGCCAGCACAGCTCCCAAAACCCGGCTCCCCCCACCCCGCACCCCCAGGCTGAGCTGGCAGCTCTGCGCCCCTTCCCAGCCCATTCCTCACCACGTGCTCTGTGCCCGCAGGCAGCAGGGAGGCCGCCTTTGTCTACGCCATCTCCTCGGCAGGGGTGGTTTATGCCATCACACGTGCCTGCAGCCAAGGGGAGCTGAAGGCCTGCGGCTGTGACCCGCTGAAGCGCGGTCGTGCCAAGGATGAGCGCGGGGAGTTCGACTGGGGTGGCTGCAGTGACAACATCAACTATGGCATCCGTTTCGCCAAAGCCTTCGTGGATGCCAAGGAGAAGAAAGTGAAGGACGCGCGGGCGCTGATGAACCTGCACAACAACCGCTGCGGCAGGATGGTGAGTGAGGCTGGGACACCTCCCAGGGCTGCTGGGGGTGCGTCTGTGGGGTCAGGGCAGGGTCCAGAGCTCCACAAACCCGAGGAGAAACACGTCCCTAGGGCTCCTTTCATAGAATCATAGCATGGCCTGGGTTGAAAAGGATCTCAAAGATCATCTCGTTTCAACCCCCCTGCTATGTGCAGGGTTGCCAGTCGCTAGACCAGGCTGCCCAGAGCCACATCCAGCCAATGCATCTAGATGGTCCTGATAGCTGTGGCCACCATTTCCCAGTCCTGATGTGCTCTCCCTCCTGCAGGCTGTGAAGCGCTTCCTGAAGCTGGAGTGCAAATGCCATGGGGTCAGTGGCTCCTGCACGCTAAGGACTTGTTGGCTGGCTATGTCGGATTTCCGGAAAACAGGGGATTACCTGCGGAAGAAATACAATGGGGCCATCCAGGTGATCATGAACCAGGATGGTACCGGCTTCACCGTGGCCAACAAGAACTTCAGGAAGCCCACAAAGACAGACCTTGTGTATTTTGAGAACTCACCCGACTACTGCGTGATGGACAAGTCAGCAGGTACAGCCAAAATCTCCCATAGGCACCTACAGCAGCTCTCCCTGCCCCCCCCCCCAATGGCTTGCAACCCCCAGGGGTGCAGCTCTATGACTCTTGGAGCCAAGATGCTCTGTGAGTGGGGAAGGAGCCCCCAACAGCCTCAGTCCAGAGGGATCACTGCTTCCTCAGTTGAGGCCAGGCACTGAGGGCAGCACGGAGACTCCTGCTGTTGCAAGGCTCACCTGCAACAAAGCAGAGTAAGCACGTGCAGAGCAGCCTGCTCACAGCCCTCGTGTCGTAACAGCACATCTGGGCACACGGCATCAGAAACAATGATAAAACAGCCCCGCCTGAGGCTCCAGGTGGTGGACACACGGGTGGGGGGGGGGCCGCAGGGAGCACGGTGTAGGGGGGGATCATCCTGACCCAGTTGTTTCCTCCCCTCCAGGCTCACTGGGCACCGCAGGGCGCGTGTGCAACAAGATCTCCCGTGGCACCGATGGCTGCGAGGTGATGTGCTGCGGGAGGGGCTACGACACCACCCGTGTCACCCGCGTCACCAAGTGCGAGTGCAAGTTCCACTGGTGCTGCGCTGTGCGCTGCAAGGAGTGCGAGGACACTGTGGATGTGCACACGTGTAAAGCGCCCAAAAGGGCCGAGTGGTTGGACCAGACCTGAGGAGACGAGTGGCAGAACCTGGCTGTAAAACCCCCCCCCCCCCCCCCCGAACCTTTTCCAGTTTTAAACACCTGTGCCCTGTGGGCCGCCGCTTTCTGGGAGCTGTAGTTTGACTGCATGGCTTTTATTTAATTAATTAACTCTGCAAAGCACTACGAAAGGACTACATTTCCCAGGAGGTGCTGTGGACCCTTCTATTTGCTCAGCAAAACAGAACCCCGTTCCCAGGAGGCAGCCAACCTCGCTTCAACTGTGAAACTTCTGCTGCCGTCGTTCCCTTCGCGGAGGGACAGTGCAACTGACACAGACTGAGAGGACTGACATTGGGATGCAGTGATGGAGCAACGCTGCCTCTTCCCAACTTTACATTGAAGTTTCACCAGCAAAAAGAAAAACAAAAAAACAACCCAAAAAAACAACTGTTTCTGAATAATAAACTCTCGCAGACAGCATTCTTGCTTTTACCTTTCTGCAAGGCCAGAGGAAGGGTGTTGCAAAGTCTTCAGAAAGCTCCGTATCTCCGTGCTTCCCTCGAGCAGCCCTGGCACGCTGTCCCCACTGCACTACTGACACTCGCTGAGCAACTTCTGCAGAGTCTTTTCCCTGTGTCCCAGCGAAGATGACAAGCAGAGTTGTGAACTGTCAGCTGAAGCCTGAACGACTGCAAAAAGACAAAGGCTACAGAAGAAGGCCGTAGAAGTTTGCAGACAAAGCGTTAGAGAAAGCAAACGAGATCTGTGAACTTACTGGTAGGTTTGGAAGTTGACGGATACAAGAGCATCTCTCTGTAAAACTCACTTGTATGTGGTGTATACTGCTTATTATTTTAAGTCAAAATTCATTATAAACCTATATCAGAAAATGATGTTCTTTGCTTTTTGAATTTCTGCATTCTGCTTTGTGCTTCCAACCCCGTGGGACGTGACTGCAGCAGTCCCTCCTGCCCCAGGTCCCCCATCCCAGGGCACAGCCACCCCCTGTGTTCACCCCTCATCCCTCACAGCAGCGCCTCGGTGTCCGAATCCCACAGGGAATCCTCCCAGCAGCATTGTGCTCCAGGACTGGCAGAACGCTGGGTCAGGCAGGAGGCACCAGATCTGCTCCCACATCTTTCCCTTACAACAGCCAAACTCCGGCTATCAGCTACAATTGCAGCTGGTGAGAGCAGGGCAGGGAGCAGCCAGGCAGTAGGTGGATATGTTATGGGGATTAACCCCTCTCATCTCCAGAAATTCTATTTTTTCCCCCCAACTTGCACAAGCACTGATAGATGCTTTATGCAGTACACAGATACTGATCAAAGAAGCATCCAGACTGACCAACCCACACAGGCAGCCTTAATGCACAAGTAAGGGCACTGAACCCATTGACTAAACTGATCCCCCCCCCAAAATAACAAAGAATTACCCAAACCACTGCAATTCCTGAACATGTACTGAAGCTTCACATGCTCAGCATCCTGAACCAAAGCTGCAAGGAGCTCATGGTGGCCAGGTTTGGGACTGCAGAAGCCCCAGGATGACTGCACAGCCAGAGCTGATGGCACAGCCTGACCGCAGCAAAGTGACCACAACTCAGCTGCCCACTGCCAAGCACTGTGAGCAAGTGAAACGTTACCTGTTTTCCTCATATTGTTCATCATTGTGCGGAAGGGCACATAATGAAATTCTGTGCATGTCAGGAAATGCACAGTGTGTGCTTTTATGTATGTTACAAGCTTCCAACAACAAGGAGGAGGAGCCTGCAGTGATACCCAATTGTAAACACGTTTAACTTGAGTCTGATTTCACACCACTGCTGTCCCAGCAAGGTGCCCGACCTCTCCCAGCACTAACAGGTCCCTCCTGTCAGCATTCCTGGTTCCCTCTATGCAACTGCAATGTTCAAAGGGTCACAGCAGCAGGATGGGATTAGAACAGATTGTTCCGTTTCTGAGCCATTCGCTGGCCATCACAAAAAGAGTCACCTCTGAATGAGGGTTCTACCCAATGGCCCTAGGAAATGCTGTCGTGAACAGGGAGAGAAAGGCCCTTGGAGGACTGCTTTGATGGGAAGGGCTCAAAGACTTCGCACAGCCCCCAGAGGGGCAGCTGGGGGCACCTCACCCCAGGCAGGCTGTGAGGGACAGAGGTCCTGCAGGACGAGCCCCAAAGTGACCCATGTGATATTAAAGCAGTGTGAGGATCCCCCTGCCCAGCTGTGTTCCCTGCAGCACCAACCCACCCAGCACCACCTCCCTTTGCAATCCCACACAGACAGCACACGAGGGCCCCACTGCCTGTCCTCAGCACTGCAGAAGGACCCGGAGCAGCGAGTATGGAGGCAGCCCAACAGCTCGAGCCCACGAGGCAGGAGGTCCTTCTGCAGAGGGCTATGTGAGGCTGTGCTCCCCTCTTGTTTATTAACAAGTGATTAGCAGAAGCATGAAAAGCACGATGCCCGGGAGCCAGCAGTGCTGGTTAACAGAACTAACCCCAGTGCTCACACAGGAGGACGTCCCACTGCAGGCTGAATGGAAATCAGTGCTGTGTGTCTTCTCACAGATGAGGCCTCCCGAAACTCCCCTTCAGTGCACTCATCTTCAGAAAGCAGATGTTTTCCATCTATAAAAGTTTATGAAGGCTGCAGTCTTGTCAGGGAATACTCGGTTCCACTCACAAGCCCCTCTTAAGTAATCTAAAGTGTACGGGGAGCCTTTTATGGAAGATCGTGTTCTAATTATCCTCCAGTCAAAAGCATGGCTGAACTCACAAACAAGGAGCAGAATTAATTGCTAGACGAGCTTCTGAATAAATTACCTTCTGTGAAGAAGCTGGGCTGGATGCACAGGAGAAGACATCCAAAACATGGGACCTGGACAAACATAGGGCATTCTCTCCACCAAGCCACATGCAAGTGAGAGAGGGCCTTAGCAGGCCGTATTTCTGGATGGGTGTACTGAACAGATGGATCAGATGTTGACCTACAACAATCCAGAATGCACGCAACACTCGGTTACACCCCAGTCCTAAAAAGCCTTGCCACAGCTGTAGATGCCTCTGCTCACCACCATACTCCTGCCTCTGCAGAAGGCAGTGCTCGTGCACCTGTGCCAGTATCTGAATGAGGGCTGTTCCAGCAGCCACACTCCTGTGACAGGTCCAAGTTTCAGGGACAGATGAAGCGGGGTATTCTGACTAACATCTGCACAACCTGACAAGGTCTGTGTGGGAGCCTTCCTACCCCTTCTTACTGAACACGAGTCACGAAGGGCTGCTCCAACTAGCAGCAGGGAATTACTGCTCTGAAATCACAGCTGGTGAGTCAGTATGGGAGAATGCAATAGTCACATACTCTGTCACACTGTTTTATAACTGATGATAGCCTATAGCCAGATAGGAAAAGAAATCAAGAGTTTGTTAAGAGAAGGATCCAAACTGATGAGGCTATGGTGTGATTGCACAATTCAAGGCATCCAGAGTAGAAGAAAATGTCACTGACCAGAAATAACCAAAGCAAGAAGATTCCCCAATGGAGAGACGTATTCATTTTAATGGAAGCACCCTTAGTGATGCAATGAACGCGGGCGTGTTATCCAGCATTCCCCAATGATTAGACTCACCTAAGGGCCCACCAAAAAGCAAGACACAACAATCGAAGCTGGAAATAAAGAGGAAAATTCCAAGCTGATGATCAGCATCCCTGATCACCGTCCTCTTCCTGCAGTGCTTAGGGCTGGGGCATGCAGAGCACGCCTCAGCTGGGAGGTGCAAGGAAGGGAGGAGGGAGCCAGAGTTCAAAAGCTGACATTCTCCCTGTCTTTATTGACATGTGGGTGAGTTCAGATCACAGCAGGCTGAACACAGAAGCCCACTGTTACTGCTGCTGCCAGCGTGACCTGATGGTTAAGGGACATTTCTGAACCATAAGTAGAAGATCAGAACAGACAGCCCAGCACTTACGCAGCCACACATCCTTGAACTGCAGAAAGGAAAGCAAGGAGTCTGCTTGTCCTTGTTAACAGCAAAGCATGGGAACGTGGGTATTGCTGGGAGGCTGGCAGAATCTGAATCCCATCTGTGCTCGCTGCCCTTGCTACCAATACCATCCTCTGCTCAGAACACAGCACCAGCACACATCTGCTCTCTGCTTCCACAGCTGTTACTGCTCTGAAATCTCAATGCAGTTCCATGTGGCTCCCAACCACACACCCCATATATTAGTAGTTTGGGAGGTGCATCTCCCCTCAGCCTGTCATCTCTGGGCAGGGGGGAAGGGCAGATTAATTTATGTCCATAAGACCCCCATATGTACATCTCCTTTTCTCTCTGGGAGTTTGCTCTCGTGTTTAACCTCCTTAGCCTGCTGGCACAGGAGGCCAATGATGCAGTTCAAAGAGAGGTGCAGGCTCTTCTCTCTCCCCCTCCCCCTCCCCCTGGAATCTTCCTCTCACTTGTGGTCCTTGGGATTCACCCAACGCTTTTTAGAGAAAAAAAAAAATAGAGGACCTCAAGACAAGTATGCATTTAATAAGCAGTGAGACAAATAAGCTCCAGTTATCCCAGCAGAATTACAACACCAGAGAACAATTTTCTGCATTCCTCTGAAGGCCTGAAGGAACCCAATTGCCTGCTCTCAGCCTAAATAGGTACCAGACACCAAGTGCTCCATAAGCAAACAGAGCCCCCAAAGTGCAAAAATGAAATAAGTAAAAAGCTTCACGTTACATATAAACCAGCCGTTTGCACCTTGTTATTAATGATCTTGACTATGACCTTTAAACACTGCCTTGCTCAGAGCCATGGATCTACACCTTGGCACCTTCACAACAATTCCAGGACAAGGAGGCAGGAAATAACCTGGCCTGGCTCACACCACAGACGTGGCATGGGATGGCTGGAGTGCCCCGAGCCTCAGCCATCAGCTCCAATGCAGCAGCCTGGGCTAAGAGGTGAGCACCTCCAGCACGAGCTTGTCAACGCAGTGACAAATGGTGACTGTGGTTTGTGACAGGGTGGAAAGTCCTACAGCCACGTGTGTGCACAAGCAGCAGTAATGCATGTTTCAAGAACAGAGGCTGACACCATGGTACACAGCTGTAAGGGAGCTAGTCACCTAGAGGCTCATTCTGACGTGGCTTAGGAGCCCAAAGAAACTAGAGATGCTTCGTGCTGCCTCTGTCAACCAGAAGAGTGTATAAGCCTACGCTGTCACACTGCTGCTTTAAGAGTTAATTATACTCCAGAGGAAAGTTTTGCAAATGGAAAGCTGCTCAGCACAGTCACTACCTCTGCAGGACACAAAAGTCTGGAGGGAGCCGAGCAAAAACTGAGCTGTTCTGAGGTGCTTTAAGGCACCACGAGCAACAACAACAACAACAAAATTCAAATCCTGTCAGTATGAATCAAAGAGACTGTAATTATTCACATATTAGCAGCATGTATATAAATAAATGTTGATTTTCAAGTTCTTTGCCTTTCATTGGCTCCTCCAAATAAAATGAAGACTTGAGAAGTCTGCTACATGACATAGAGCCTTAAAAAGGCTCCTGCTATTCCAGTGGCTATGAGGCACATTTTGCAAAGTGCATGTTTCAGGGAAATGGCAACAATCAATGCTTATCTGTCCCCAGTCATAATTGTCTTGTTACATATACATTATGCAACTTAATTGCATGTGGACTGATATGGTAGCACTGTGGTATGCATCAGGTGCTAAGCCCCTGCTCCAAGGTGGCAAAGGAATGTTGCTATAAAGCATGAACAATCCTGCTAGGAAATCATGCAGGGAGCTCCTCCTTCCTCAAGAATTACTGGCACTTCAAGGTAGACAGGAACATTTTCATTACATAGGCTGCTGCCAGCTATACTTTCAGCACAAGCC